GAGGAAAAGGGAGAAGATCTCAGGGGGGAAAAGGCCTTAGGGGGAAAGGGGGGAAAGGATCTCAACAGGGAATGGCGGGAAAACATCTTAGGGAGGAAAAAGGAGGAAAAGGGATATGATCTCAGGGGGGGGAAAAGGCCTTGGGGGGGAAAGGGGGGGAAAGGATCGAAAAGCGAGAAGATCTCAGGGGGGGAAAGGGGGAAAGGATCTCAACACGGAAAGGGGGCAAATGATCTTAGGGAGAAACAGGGAGAAGATCTGAAAGGGCCTTTGGGGGGAAAGGGGGGGAAAGGATCTCACAGGGAGAAAAGATCCTAGGGAGGAAAAGGGAGAAGATCTCGAGGGGAAAGGGCGAAAGGATCTCAACCGGGGGAAAAGATCTTGGGGAGGCAAAGGGAGAAGGCCTTAGGGGGGAAAGGGGGGAAAGGTTCTCAACAGGGAAAGGGGGGAAAATATCTTAGGGAGGAAAAGGGAGAAGATCTTGGGGGGAAAAGGCCTTAGGGGGGAAAGGGGGGAAAGGATCTCAACAAGGAAAGGGTGGACAAAAAGGCCTTAGGGGGGAAAGGGGGGAAAGGCTCTCAACAGGGAAAGGTGGCAAAAGATCTTAGGGGAGGAAAAGGGAGAAGATCTCAAGAGAAAAGGACTTAGGGAGGAAAGGGGGGGAAAGATCTTTGAAGGAAAAGGGAGAAGAACTGAGGGTGGGACAAGGCCTTAGAAGGAAAAGGGGGGAAATACATGATCTCAACAGGGAACTGGGGGGGAAAGATCTTAGGGAGGAAAGGCAGAAGATCTGGGGCAAAAAGGCCTTAGGGGGGAAAGGGGAGAAATGATCTCAACAGGGAAAGGGGTGGAACAGATTTTAGGGAGGAAAGGGAGAAGATCTGGGGAAAAAAGGCCAACAGGGAAAGGGGGGGAAAAGATCTTAGGAAGGAAAAGGGAGAAGCTCTCGGGGGGGGAAAGGCCTTGGGAGGGAAAGGGGGGAAAGGATCTCAACAGGGAAACGGTGGGAAAGATCTTAGGGAGGACAGGGGGGGGGGAAGATCTTGGGGAGGAAAGGGAGAAGATCTCGGAGAAAAGGACTTAGGGGGGAAAGCCCAACAGGGAAAGGGTGGGAAAGATCTTAGGAAGGAAAAGGGAGAAGCTCTCAGCGGGGGGAAAGGCCTTTGGGGGGAAAGGGGGAAAAGGATCTCAGCAGGGAAAGGGGGGGGGGGAAGATCTTAGGGAGGAAACGGAGAAGATCTGGGGACAAAGGCCTTAGGGGGGAAAGGGGGGAAATGATCTCAACAGGGAAAGGGGTGGAAAAGATCTTTGGGAGGAAAGGGAGAAGATGTGGGAGAAACAAGGCCAACAGGGAAAGGGGGGAAAGATCTAAGGAAGGAAAGGGGAGAAGCTCTGAGGGGGGGAAAGGCCTTAGGCGGGAAAGGGTGGGAAGGATCTCAACAGGGAAAGGGGGGAAACAATCTTAGGAAGGAAAAGGGAGAAGATCTGGAAAGGCCTTAAAGGGAAGGGGGGAAAGGGGAAAGGGGGCAAACGATCTTAAGGAGGAATAGGGAGAAGATCTCAGCGGGGGGAAAGGCCTTAGGAAGGAAAGAGGGGAAAGGATCTCAACAGGGAAAGGGGGGGAAAGATCTCAGTGGGGAAAGGGAAAAGATCCCAGGCAGGGAAAAGGCCTTAGGGGGGAAAGGGGGAAAGGATCTTAACAGGGAAAGGGGGCAAAGGATCTTAGGGAGGAAAAGGGAGAAGATCTGAAAAGGCCTTAGGGGGAAAAGGGGGAAAGGAGCTCAACAGGGAAAGGTGGGAGAAGATCCTAGGGAGGAAAAGGGAGACGATCTCGGGGGGAAAGGGGGAAAGGATCTCAACCAAGGGAAAAGATCTTGGGGAGGACAAGGGAGAAGATCTCAGGGGGGGAAAGGGGGGGAAAGGATCTCAACAGGGAAAGGGGGCAAAGGATCTTAGGGAGGAAAAGGGAGAAGATCTTGGGAGGGAAAACGCCTTAGGGGGGAAAGGGCGGGAAAGGATCTCAACAAGGAAAGGGGGGAAAAGATCTTAGGAAGGAAAAGGGGGAAGATCGCGGGGGGAAAAAAGGCCTTAGGGGGGAAAGGAGGGAAAGGATCTCAACAGGGAGAGGGGGGAAAACATCGTAGGGAGGAAAAGGGAAAAACTCAGAGGGAGAAAGGGCCTTAGGGGGGAAAGGGGGAATGGATCTCAACAGGGAAAGGTGGCAAAAGATCTTAGGGAGGAAAAGGGAGAAGATCTCAGGGGGGGAAAGGCCTTAGGGGGGAAAGGGGGGAAAGGATCTGAGCAGGGAAAGGGGGGGAAAGATCTTAGGGAGGAAAGGGAGAAGATCTGGGGGCAAAGGCCTTAGGGGGGAAAGGGGAGAAATGATCTCAACAGGGAAAGGGGTGGAAAAGATCTTAGGGAGGAAAGGGAGAAGATCTGGGGGAAAAAAGGCCAACAGGGAAAGGGGGGAAAGATCTAAGGAAGGAAAAGGGAGAAGCTCTCAGGGGGGGGAAAGGCCTGAGGGGGAAAGGGTGGGAAGGATCTCAACAGGGAAAGGGGGGAAACAATCTTAGGAAGGAAAAGGGAGAAGATCTGGAAAGGCCTTAAAGGGAAGGGGGGAAAGGATCTCAACAGGGAAAGGGGGCAAAGGATCTTAAGGAGGAATAGGGAGAAGATCTCAGCGGGGGGAAAGGCCGTAGGGGGGAAAGGGGGAAAGGATCTCAACAGGGAAAGGGGGGGAAAGATCTCAGGGAGGAAAGGGAAAAGATCCCAGGGAGGAAAAGGCCGTAGGGGGGAAAGTGGGGGAAAGGGAGGAAAAGGGAGAAGATCTCAGGGGGGAAAAGGCCTTAGGGGGGAAAGGGGGGAAAGGATCTCAACAGGGAGAGGGGGGAAAACATCTTAGGGAGGAAAAGGGAAAACATCAGAGGGAGAAAAGGCCTTAGGGCGGAAAGGGGGAATGGATCTCAACAAAGAAAGGGGGGCAACAATCTCAGAGGGGAAAGGGGCAAGGGGACAATTCCAAAGGGACGCAAACAAGAAAGCAGGCCTGTAATGTCGGCGGCCTGAGCCGGAGGCGTTAAAATTAATTGATGGTAGTGGATAGTTATAGTGCTACACTCATGACTTTAACCCACTGCTCCCGGTAAGATCGCCATAGGCAAAGAGATGAAACGCTCGCGTCGGCAAATCTTCGAGAACAGCGCCTGGAAGAGGGCACGTCGCACTTCGGGGAATTCCTTTGACTGAGAAAGTAGCCTCTAAATCCTTGGGTCCTGGCCACCAATCAATTGGGTTCGGGTACAGTGTGGCTTTTCTAGATCTGTCCCTCAAAAAGAGCAAAAAAAAAGCAGCGGGAGAACTTCATGAGAAACTCCAAACTGTCCAAGTGAGATGCCTGAAACTTTGAAATCCAAGAGCCTCCGATAATTTCTACAAGCACATGCTGCTGGTTACTGCGGGCTTGTTCCATCCAAACCCTCAACCCCCGACAGGTTGGATCCGACCGCGAAGTTTCTGAGAGCCGCGCGACTCGGGATTGGATGAACACGCCGGTGGAGGACGTCCTGAGTGCCCATGATCAGATTGATTTGGCATTCCTCAGTTCCAAGGGTACTGCTACGGGTTGATTCAAGGAAAAACAAAAGGACAGGAGCCTGCTTTGTTCCCCGCACCTTTGTGTGGGGCTCTTACTTTTTCCGCGCGGGTCGCCCGCTTCTCCTCCCTCTCCTCCTCCTTTTTCCGCACGCTTCCTCCCGCGCACTCACTCACTCACTCACTCACTCCCTCCCTCCCTCCCTCCCTCACTCCCTACCTCCCTACCTCCCTCCCTCCCTCCCTCCCTCCCTCCCTCCCTCCCTCCTCCCCTCCCTACTCTCTCCCTGACACACTCCCTCACTCCCTCACTCCCTCACTCTCAAACACTCTCACTCTCACTCTCACTCGCACTCTCACTCGCACTCACACTCACTCACTCCCACTCACACTCACACTCACACTCTCTCACACACACACTCACTCACTCACTCACTCACCCACCCACCCCACCCACCCACCCACCCACCCACCCACCCACCCACCCACCCACCCACTCACTCACTCACTCACTCACTCTTGTTTCGTGGCAGGGCCAGCGCTGTGGACACGGCAAGCCCAGCACTTTGGACATGCGAGTGCTCGATTTTGGGTGGCAGGTGAAAAGGCTCTACAGGGACTGGATGTCGTCTCGCCAGCTCGCGTGGGCCCCCTGGCTTCGTGGCTTTGGACATGTGAGTGCCAATTTCGTGGCAGGCGCAGCACTTTGGACATGCGAGTGGCGATTTGTTGGCAGGGGCAGCATTTCGGACATGTGACTGCTGGCTTCATGGCAGGGGGCCCCCTGGTTTCGTGGCAGGCGCAACACTTTGCACATGTTAGGGCACGATTTCGTGGCAGGGCAGCGTTTTAGAGGTCTCTAAAGGGCCTGGATGTTGTTGCGCGCAATTGTGTGACTCATCTCCCTCACACTCATCTCACTCACACTCACTCCCGTTGCACGTGGGTTTGAATGGTTCTTCTTCCTGCACATCCAGCTGATCTTGACATAAGATTGCTGGGAGTGCTGCTTCATTGACTCCATTGTTCTTTCCTTCTTGCTTTCTTTCTGTCTTTCCACGCTGCTTAGCGTCCTTTCATCCATGAGCCGTGATCAAATTTGCTGCAAGAGCTTTGCGAACACATATGGGACATGTGCAGAGCCATCATATGGGACATGTGCAACTGTTGTGATAAGGCCTCAGCACCGCTGCTTGTATGACTAAATTGTGATTTAACCGGTCTTCGCAAAACCCCAACCAGTTTGACTTTCTCAAAACGTAAAGCCCTTAAACCGTGAAGAGGACTCTCCAGCGATAGTAAGTACAACTCAATACTTCTTGGTTGTGGGGGGGTTATTAACCCCGAGTTTAAGCCCTGGCCCGAGCACCTCCCAGCGGTAGGGCTGGTTGACGGCGGAGTCTCGGGAGATGAGTGCCATGGATCCGGCCCTGTGCGGGCTCTCCCCTCCGATGAGGGTGGGTCTGGTTGCCCAGGTGATCAGGCAGGAGCCCGACCTCGGGGGCACGCTGATGGAGGGCATCAATCCTCAGCAGCGCTTCGTGGTGAGCCCCTCCATCCAGGAGATCGGACTGATCACGCTCTTCAACGCGATGATCACTGCTGCAGCACCTCTACCTCGGCTCCTTCTTGATGCTCGATCGGGATGGGTCAGACATTCCAGGCCCACTTTTGGGGACTTCTTCCAGCTCAGGGAACTATGCGCTGGAATTGGGGGCTTCTCCCAAGGAGCCAACTTCGTTGGGATCAAGACGGTGGCCTGCCTGGACCACAGCGCCCTGGCTTGTGCTGCGCTTCGCCTTCAGGGACACTACACCATCCAGGCTGACATCGAAGACCAGGAGGCTCTCCAGAAGCTCCATGCGGCCGGTAACGCCAGGCCAAGCCTAGTCTCGGCGGGCTCCCATGTCAGCCCTACAGCGCGCAAGGTGACCAACGCGGGCTTCAAGACTCAAGGGGAAACACCCTGCGGTCAATCCTGAAGGCTTCCTGGCTACTACAAGCGGTTGGCCTCATCCTTGGAATGCGTCCACAACGTCAAGGAGCACCCGGATGTCACGCTACTTCTTCAAGAATACGCCCGAGGACGCAACTGGCAGAGCCACGCAACCACCCTGGACCTCCAAGACCAATGGGCCAGTCGCCGGAAGAGATGGTGGTGCATCATGATCCCCAACGACGACCGCGTCCCCTTCCGCTTGCTCCCTTGGCCTGCCAGCAACCCTTTCCCGAATGTTGGCTCCGTCATCCAGGAGTGGCCAATCTGGCCAGATGAAGACGAGGACAACCTGGCCTGGTATGGCAACCTCGACTACGGCAAAGATCTTCGGCATCTCAACCTGGCAGCGCCGGCTCCCACGGCCCTCCACTCATGGGGTACAGCCTTGCAGGCTTGCCCGTGTGGATGTCGGTCTGGACCACTGGCGGATCACCGTTTGCGACGACACGGACTCCGAGGCTTCGCCATCATCTCCATGAGCACCGGCAAGAAGCGCTACATCCACCCCAAGGAAGCCGGATTCACCACTACCTCACCCAGCACGTCACGCCCTTTGCTTGGTTGGCCAAATTGCAGCCCCTCTCCAGGCGGTCTGGATCTTCGCACATGTGACCAACTGGATCTTCCAGATCCACGCAAAGCGACCAGGGCGCTCAGCACTTGGCTACGTCCATGAATACCAGCACAAGCTCCTTCGGGATCGCCTGCTCCACTGGATCACCCCATCCATGTTCCGCTCACGCACCCTGACACTCAAGGAGGAGGGAGAGCCGGACGTTTTGATCACCCTCAAAAGCCCAGCCTCGCTCGCACAGGTCAAAGCCGCAGAAACAGCACTTCAAGGTTGGGGAGCTGCAGTACATGTCCACCCTACAGGCCACATCCAAACCGACCAGGAGCTCATCGCTAGTGCCACAGACCGGCTGCACTGCCAAATCAACAGGCAGAAGAAACGGCAAGCAATTGCCTTCCCTGAGTCTGAGGACAAGCGCCCGCTTAGAGCGGCTGGCCCCGAGACCGCTGAACTCACCTGGGATGAAACGGCCGTGCTCTACAACCTCCAGCTGATCCTCAACTACGCTGCGTGTATCGACCCACGCCCTTGGGGGATTATCACACCAGTCCAAGCATTTGAACTTCTCTGTGCAACCCCACGAGCCTTGCCCAATGAGCTGCAGCTGTTCGACCGGGCCGTCATCATCTTCCCGTACAACAACCACTGGACGCTCCTCACGCTTGAACCATCAGAGGACCACACCCTGGCCACCTACTGGGATGCTCCAGCCACCCCCAACCAACAAGCTGCACACGACCTCACCTTGGACATCTGCTCCCTGATGGGCTGGCCTTCTCCGCACATCCAGCACAAGCACATCTTTGCCACCACCAGCAACGGCAATTGTGGTGTTTTGGCAATTGTCCACTTCGGATGGCACCTAGACCTATGGGACCATCTTCCTGATGAGCGCATCATGCAGTGGCACCTTGCTTTCGCAACCACCCCTTCAGGGCCCTGCCTGCGGGCTGGGGGACCTACGGAGCGAGGAACTCAAGGCTGTCCTCATCACCAAGGGGGTCCCACAGGCAGCAGTCCAATCCAGAGCTGAAGCCAAACTTGGCATCGGTCCCATCCAGGCAGCCCTCAGAGACAAAAACAACTGGCAGGCGCTCAAAGCCCTAGCCTCTCGGCCGGCCTCCAGATTCAGATGGATCGACTACAACGAACTCCAGGACCACATTGCCGAACGCGCCAACTCCAAATTCGGCACCAACATCCCCAACGCGAAAGGCAAAAAGCTCAAGGGACAAGGTCACGCTGGTCGACCTCCTTCTCTCCAAGTTGATCCCAACCAACTTGTCATCCCCGAGGGCATCTTCGCCGATGACGAGAACAATTCGATCGCCCAGATCGCGTTCTCCGACATAGGCTGCAACAAAAGAGGATTCGCAATCACCACGGTTGAAGACGCCATGCACTTCATCAAGGACGCGCAGAGCATCTCCACCGAAGCCCTTGCGCTGATCACTACAACAGAACTTCCTCCACACCAACAGGCCGAGACCATCCGCTTCCCCGCAGTCTACACCGGCACCAATGAGCCCATCCTCCTCACAGGCAGCCTGCTCCAGATAGGTGACGTCCCAGTCAAAAGAGTCACCAAAACTGCCGAACCCATCGAGGACGAGATACACCTCCACACTGCGCATCTCCGTATTTGCGGACGAATATCCACAGGACTGGAACCTTTTCATCAAGGCACCGATCAAAACTGTCATCCGGAACACCCCCCTCCTGCTGAAGTGCACCGACGACTCCTGCAACAACAAATGCCCTCGATTCCACCCGGCCGTTGATGAAGCTGTCGACCAGGTCATCCAAGATGTGTGGTCCTGGACCTATGCCACTCTTGACGGCCGCAGATCCAACACCGAGCACTGTGTCCTTTTCCAAGCCAACATCCGGGTCCCTCTTTCAGCAGCACCGCTACTGCAAGCCACCTCTGGATCCAACGGTGTCTACTTTGACCCGCGCTCCAAAGACGGCAAGTCCACTGACCCAAATCACACAGTCATCTGGCTGCCAGGTGCCAACAGTCAGGAAGCCAAGCACAAATCCCGAACCAGCGACCACGCCATCGCAATCACACGCCTCGGCGGCAAGTATGGGATCCGGGTTCGTGAGCAGGACGAGAAAACCGCATGGGCATATCTCCGACCAGGGCACGACTACATCCAGGTCAAGATCACGGGCGTTTACCGACTATTCCCTCTCCCTCATGGAGTACAACGCACCGGAGTCGCCCATCTCCTCAAGCAGTGGCAATGGCCCGCTCGTCCACTTCAAACTTGCAGAGGCTCTGCTGAAGGAGCTGCCTGGGAAGTCGGAGCTTCTGCCGAACCCCCAGCATGGGTCCTCCCGGGAATCGGCAACGAAGTCATTGTCACAAAGGTCAAGGATGTGGGACCCAAAGCCCCAACAGGCAATGCAATCTGCGCTACCGGCCGCACCAGAAAGCACATCCAGCAGGGATCCTCATCCACGCCTTCCAGCACAAGCCAGGACCCATGGTTCAACGGCAGCGACCCATGGGCCAAGTGGTTCCACACCTCGGGAGACGTCGACATGACCCCATCAGCCTCGGCTTTGCCAGCTACCAGCACGAAGAAGATCGACCAGCTCGGCACCACTTTGAAAACGGACATGCACGAGGCCGTCCGCTCTGAGGTAGCCAAGAGCACAGACGTTGCCAAAATCACCCACCTCGAAGCCAGCGTCCACGAGCTGCGTGAACAGGGCAAACGCTTCGAAAATTGGTTTCACGAAGTCAGCCAACGAAGCCAGCAACAGGATGATGACCTCAAAGCCCTCAAGCACGTCGTCACCCAGCAACAGGGCGACCTAGCAGAAGTCAAGCACCAGATCAAGTCCCAGGGAGATTCCCTGCAAGCAGCAGTTGGCACCATCAAGAACGACCTGTCCAACCAGATCGACTCCCAATTCCAGCGCTTCGAGGCCCTCCTGGCCAAGAAGGCACGTATGGAGTGACTAGGTCACGCCGGATCCTGGTCTAGACCTGCCAGGAGTCTCTCCATATTCTCCCTTTTGTCCATCCTGCTCTGCTTCGGTCTGTTCCCACTTGGTGCAGCACACGCAGAAAACGAGCAGTGCCAGCCTGGTACCCAGCTCTACTACGTCAGCGCAAAGGAGCTTTACGCAAGCTCCTATTGCGATCAGGGGCCCAGGGAAAGCACTCTCAAGGCCCAGCACCCAGGGCGAGCAGCGTGTTCTGCAGCTGCTCCCACTTTGACCCTCGATGCCAACTACCGCCGCATCGGAGAGGCCCGCAATCCAGGGCCCAGCAATCCTCTCCCGCCCACTGAGGAGCTCTTGGTTGTGGGTACCACGAACCCCTCTGGGCTGAACGGCAAGGAGGAAATTCAGATTAACCAGGACCCAGGCATCTGGCTCCTGGCGGAAACACAGCTCTCCTACATTTCCGGACCTACCTCCCGCAAGAGACTCGCTGCACTCGGCCGTGCCCATCAACGGCAAGTTCGATGCATTGAAGGCGCCCCGGCTCCGCTCAGAGCCAATTCTCTCTGGGCCGGATCTTGGTCCGGGGTCATGATGATCTCCGATTTCCCGGCCCAGGCCATCACCCTTCCTTGGGAGCCCGGCGCATTCGAGACGGGGCGTGTCGCTACAGGCCGACATTTTATAGATGACCTGCCTATCACCACCACGGTCGTGTATGGCTTCGCACAAGGCCCAACCTACCCCAACGCCAAAGCACTCACTGATCAACTCCTCACAACTGTCACCAAGGAGGTTGTCCTTGGCATGCAGGGAGTTCGGATCATAGCCGGTGACTTCAACATGACCGCTGACTCATCACCACAAATCGCCATTTGGCGACAACATGGATGGCAAGAGGCCCAACAGTTGGCCCATTCTCTATGGCAACAGCCACCTCAACCTACATGCAAGGGGGCGACAACCCCTGACATGCTCTTCCTTTCTCCTGAAGCAGCAGCACTGGTTCTTCGGGTGAGAGTTGAGGACGTCTACATGGAACACTCGTCCGTGATGGTGGACCTCTGGACCAAACCCCAGCAGCGGCTACTCCGACAATGGCGGCAACCCGCCTCCATCCCATGGGAGTCCGTCCGGATCCCACAATGGCACGCGGCCAACGTTGAGGTCGCCAACCTTGAGCAGCCCGCCACCGAGTGGTATCGGGAGTTTGCGGCTACCTATGAGAACTCCCTCAACGGTTTCGTCAGCTCCTTTGGGCACAACGAACTACCTCGGCGATGCAAAGGACGTGCCAAATGGTCTGAACCTCATCAGACCAAGCTTACTTCGCATATCCTGAAGTCAAGCCGTCCTGGAGAAGAAGCCATCCTCACCAGCCTTGCCGGTACTGCAGTACGGCAATGGTGCAAACAACTACGACGCCTCCAGAGCTACACGCATGCCACTGCGACACAACCCCGTTCGGCCAACTCGGGATTATACATCGCCCAGCTATGGGGTGCCATCACGAGAAGCTCGGGATTCCGTGGCAGCTTCCACGTCTGGTGGAAAACACGACCAGCACAGCTACAAGGCAGCCCAGTCAGCCTCCCTCTGGATCCACCAGCTCACCAGCAAGCCATTCTCATCTTCCAAGACTTCAGGACCAACTACCGTCAGTTCGAAGCATGGCACGCCAACAAGCGAAGGCAGGCCATCAACCTCAAATTTGAGGAATCCACCGGCGTCCTTTACAACTTCATCAAAGAGGACAAGGCGCCCCCCATCGACACGCTTGCCATTGCTCGGGACTATACCATTTTGGCCGTGGACCCCAGCAACAATTTTGTTCACCTCGACAAGGTCATTTACGTTAAGGGCAGCTCCTCCTGGTCTCTTCATGGAGAGCCAGCTCATGTACAGTTGGAAGCTGCCGACATCGCTCAAGTTGACAGCGATCGGCTCCTCTGTCCAGGAGACACCCTGGAACAAAATGTGTCCGTCACTCACATTGACGACATCCACCATGAGCTCCTCGAACTCTGGTCATCCCGATGGAACACTACTGCGCAATTATCTGAGGCCGAATTCCAGCGCATCGCCAACTTCATTCACGCCTTCATCCCGCGAGGACACTTCCCGTGCGAGCCGATCTCCGTCAACGACTGGGACATTGCACTCAAGAAGTACCGGCCACACACCGCTAAAGGACCGGATGCCTTTGCGCTCAACGACCTTCGCAACATGCACCCTGCCCACAAGGCCAACCTCATCGGATGGCTCAACAGGCTTGAAGAAGGCCAATCAGCCTGGCCAACTCAGGTCCTCCAGGGTACCATCACCCCTGTTGCCAAGACAACAAACTCGAAGGAGCCTGACAGCTACCGGCCCATCACGGTCTACAGCCTCGTATACAGGACGTGGGCGGCCGTAAGGACCAAAACCATCCTGAAGTCCATCAGCTACCTCCTCAGCAACACCGCCTACGGGTTCATGCCCGAGAAGGAGGCCCTACAGTACGTCTTCGCAATCCAGGCCCTCGTTGAGCTCAGTGCCCAAGCCGATCACGCCTCTGGAGGCGTCTGTGGCTTTGCGGCCGACCTCAAGAGATGCTTCAACAATCTGCGCAGAGAGCCCATCACGCTCACCGCCCAGGCCCTCGGAGTTTCCAACCGAGTCCTCAAGCCGTGGTTGGGCTTCCTCTACGGCAACCAACGCAGATTCACTGTCCGAGGGCACCTCTCCGAGCCGACCAAATCATCGGTTGGCTACCCAGAAGGATGCCCACTAAGCGTCGCTGCCATGACCATGATCGACCTCAGCTTCCACCTCTACATGAAAGCCTTCTGCCCTTCGGTCACGAGCTACAGCTTCGTCGACAACCTCGCAGCGACTGCCACCTCTACACAGGCCTTGGCCAGAGGTTGGTGCACAATGGAGGCCTTCTGCTCCCTCTTCAAGCTTCCGGTTGACTACGACAAGTCATTTGCCTGGGCTTCAGCTCCTGGTGACCGTAAAGCCCTCGAGCTCTTCCCATGCAGGGCGGTTCGTGCTGCCAGAGACCTTGGAGGGACACTTTCCTTTGGTGGGACTCTCAGGAATTCCAGCCTGGTCGAACGATGCCGCGGCCTAGCAGGCCGATGGAATGCCCTCAAGCGAGCCCCAGGCTCGCTAATCAACAAGGCTCGTACGCTGTGGACCTGCTTCTGGCCACGGGCACTTCATGGAATTGTCACATGCAGACTCGGGGACCAGCACATCAAGCAGCTCCGATCGGCGGCGGTTGCAGCCCTTCAACTCAAGTGCGCTGGGGGCAACCCCATCTTGCGCCTCACCCTGGAGTTCCAATGCATGGCCGACCCCGGCTACTACCAGATTGCCACAACGCTCAGGGACTTTAGGCGCCTCTGTCACAAGCAGCCTGCGCATGTTAATGAGTGGGCCCACTTCATGCGCCAATATGACGGGCGCCTCCTTCCTGGTCCATTTTCCAAGCTGATTGAGGTCTGCAGCTCCCTCGGATGGACCATCACCAGCGTGCCCATCATACAGGATCATGATGGGGTCAACTTCAATCTGCTCATGTGTGCCACCAATGAGTTGGATATTCGCCTCAATGACGCGTGGGCTCAGCACATCGCAGGCCAAGTCCGCAAGTCCATGAACGGCCTACGCGGCTTAGACCTTGCCTGTACTACCAGACGGCGTTCTAAGTATAACCCCTTACAGGCGCGATTGGTTGCAGCAATCTGGGATGGTTCTTTCCGTGCAGTTTGCTACCACGCGAAGTACGACCTGACCAAGGACGCCCAGTGCCCCCGTTGCCACGTGACGGATGATTACCGACACCAAGTTGCAGTCTGCCCGCGTTTCCACTCCTGCCAAGGTGAAGACCAATGGGCAGCGGATATTTGGGATACACTTCCTGAATGTATCAGCCAGCACCTCCTGATACCCAGGAACCCCATGCTGGCTGATATCAAAAAAGCCCTTGGCGACCTACCTGACAGATCCACGGAGTTCCACCTCCTGCCCAACGACCAGGACGTGCAACACGTATTCACAGACGGCTCCTGTTTCGGTCACGCAGACCCACACCTTTCATTAGCAGCTTGGGGCGCAATTTTGCCGGACAGAGGCTGCCTGGCCGCCGGACATCTTGTTGGGATTGTTCAGTCGGTTAATCGTGCAGAGCTCACAGCAGTTATAGCTACGCTCCGTTGGTCGAATCTTTACCGATGCAATATTTGTATTTGGACAGATTCGCAATACGTTTCCGATGGAGCCAACGCCCTGCTCCAAGACCCGGCCGCAACCACGGCCCTTGTCGCCAACCTCATCCAGATTGCAGTCTCAGGCTCTATTTCAGTGCGATGGGTTCCCTCCCACTTGAACGAAGCGGCCTGTGAATCTCCATTTGAGGAATGGGTTGCAAGGGGCAATAACCAGGCGGATGGCGCAGCAGTCGCAGCAAACAAGAACAGATCAGTTCCTTTTGCTGAGCTACATGGTCGTGCTGTTCAGTATTACAACCGCTGGGCGGAAATCTGTAATGCCCTTGAGCGCATATATCTTCGCATTGCCAACCTCACTGGTACGCATGTTGATGAATCGGCTCAAGAAACTGAAGACCCCCCGGAGGCCACCCTGGACACATCCACGCTGTGGCATAGCAGACGCAACTCGTGGACAGACTTCCTGCCCGAGGACTGGGACACTTTTGGTGCATCCAAATTGCCGGAACTGCCCTTGGGATTTGTGAAGCAGTTCCTCACCTGGATCCTCAAGCTGGATGAACAGTGCGCCGACAGCACAGATGTCAGCTACCTTGAATTAGTTTTGCATTTCCAAGAGGGTAATGGCCAGGCTTTTCCAATCGCCACACCCGATGGCGGTTTCCAGGTTGCACATGCAACTACCTTTGCCCGGCCAACTGTAGCCTCTCAACTGCGCATAGCAGCAAGGGTGATTCAAACCTTTGGGCGCCACTTTGCTCTGGAGGGTTTTTTGACCAGTGGCATCGACTCTCTTGTTGGTTTTGGGGTTCACCCTCCTCAAAGGGGCGTTCGAATCGGATGTGGGAAGGACACCCTCCGTGCCATGCGCTCATGTGTGGCTTCCTTTTCAGCGGCCCGACCAATCAGGGTCGCGGCCGATTTAGCTAGGCCGGCTTAAGGCCTGACCGGACCGCCCACTGCACCGCGCTGCTGTGCATGGGCGATTGCGCAAGTGAGAGTATTAACCCCGAGTTTAACATGATAGCGATAAGGGGTTCAGAGGAAAACCCGCAGTCAGGGCAAAACGCGAAGGTCTTCAGTTGCCCTTCCCTTTCCCACCACATGGGTCCCCAAGGCCCTTGCCTACCATCCCAATCCGCCCGAGCCGCCACAGATCGCTGAGAGCAGACGCATCGAGGTATCGCGTAGTGGTGCCCACATGCCCCAGGACCGCAGTGTCAGTAACCTGGCAAGTTGGACAAACTGGGCCCACTGTTTTGACAGGGAGTGAGTCCAGAAAATCAATTTCCCTCTAATTTGCAGATTGGAGGCGGATGTTCCCATGGGGTTGAGGCCCATTCAGCCAGGTTGGGGGGACCCTTTTTTGTTAATAAGGCGTACTCTTGATTTCCAGAACACACCCTGGTCGAAAAATGTTAGTTAGGACAGGCAGGCAAAAACGCGGAAACCCCTACCCACCGTCGCCTTCATCGCCACCCACGAGACCTGAGATGCGACAGATAGGGGGTACCTTTTCTTGTTGTCTTCAAACAAAAAAGTAAAGACACAAACTAGAGGATGCTTGGCCCGAAAGCATGTTGCCGCCTCGATGATAAGAGCCCCCGGAAATATGCGAGTGTTCCACCGGAAATATGCGAGTGTTCCACAGCATGAGCTGAACAATCTGCCACTTGGCCCTGTGCGTGCAAGTGCAGCTTTGCAACTAGACCGCGCAGTGTCGCACGGAAGATGCTGCCCGCAAGTTGCAAAATGCAAATGATTTGCGCAATTGCTATGTGCAACTTTCTCTGCGCAGGTCTGCGCAAGGCGCTTCGTGCAAGTTCTTGTTGTGGAACTGTCTGTGCTGCACTCGTGCTCTGCGCAAGTTGTTCTGCGCAACTCTGCGCGTCGATCTCTGCGAGTGTTCTGCGCGTGTGCAAGTGGCCATGCGCAAATTCTGCGTGCAAGATACTGCACTATTTCCAATTTGCCTTCGCTTTTGTGCTCTGTTCAAGTGCCTTGCGCAAGTTGCTCTGCGCAAGCGCTCCGCGCAAGGTTGCCCCTGCGCACGTCTGAAAAAATATCTGCGCGCAAAAATGTTTTGTGCAAGTTGCTCTGCGCAAGTTGCCTGCGCAATGGCCCTATGCAAGTTGCTCTGCACCGATGGCTCAGCCTACATTGCTCTGCGTAACTTGCGCAAGTCTGCAGGTCTGCAAAACGAACGTTATTACGCCCCCCCCCCCGCCCTCCCCACCGCCACCTCCCACCCAGAACGCAGCCTGCTTGTGAAAATGAGCAACCGTCGCTACAGGGGCGCCGCCAACATAAACAAGGACCTGTGAATTTGCATGCTTGAAGGGAAAACGCCACGCACAACCTTTTCTGAATTGCAGGGTGGCACTGGAAAAAACGGAATGCTGATTGGGAATTTGTAAGGAAACTGCACCCATGCCCCCTCCCGCCCCCCCCGCGGTAAACCTGTTGGATGTAGGACGTCTGGGGTATGCAACCCAGCTGAGCGAAAGGCCATCGACAGGAAGATCGGCCACGTGATCTTGAGGAGGGCGACTATCTCCTTGATAACCTGAGTCAAACCCAAGCAAAAGTGTGCAGGAAGGGCCAAATAATTACACTGGAGGTTTGGGGTACTATTAAGAAACACATTTTGTCATGACTATAGGAGTACACGAACGATTTAATTCGTCCCTTCCATTGCACCCGCACCTTGCAAGACACACGCAACGGCTGCCACTGGGCGTGGCTTAGAACAAACCGAGCGCCAAGAGCTGGGCATCGGAGATCGGGGATGGAGATGCCGCCTGTTCAGCTTTCATGGTTGCCTGCATCAAGCTGGCGCCAAGCATAGCGTCCCCATTTCGGAGCACCGCCATGTGGCTCAAACTTAAGGAGCTAGGGTTATGCGGGTTTTAGTCTTTGGTTCCATTCACCAAGGTGGCCATTCTGGTACCCGGTATTTTGAGCCACAGCCATGTACAAAGCTCGTTGTGCCCGACGAGGATTGGGAACTCTTTTTATCGCGCGTTGCTTTTCCCGTTGCTTCACAGCCCTGTTTGATGGTCCCTCGCGAGAAAACTCAGGGAGCTTGATCTGGGACCCGGTCCGTGCCTTCTCGTCCTCACAAGAAGACTTGCCGAGAACTAGCATTGTCAGTTTGCGAAGGTGTGCTTGCTTTCTCTGCAAAAAAGTGTACCTGCGTTACGAGGAAACATGCCTGCCGCAGTTCTAAGCTCGGGGATCCTTTGTGGATTGCAAGGGAGGCACTTGCACGCCCATGTAACCTCCCGTTGCTTACTTCCCCTGGAAAATCACAAACATGTCCAGTAGTGATAGATATATGTTCTGTTAAACAACAGCAGGGAAACATACAAAAACACTCTTACACATGGAAGATAACAAGGGTTACGTTTCATTTGGAGAAAACACATCCCTCCACGGGAAGTCCCCCAATGCGCCAAACGGGTAGAACGGGATGCAGGGTTAGAAGGGTTAGAAGGGTCAAATGGCATAGTGTGGAAGGGTAAAATGAGACACGGGGTAGAAGGGGTAGAATGGGGTTGAACAAAAAGAGTCGCCCAAGCCTCAAGGGCAGAGGAATCCCTTGACCAATTGCCGTCTGGTTCGATCGAAACCGAGCAAAAGCTGCAACAACAACTTTCAGGGATCTTGGACCACCGACATAGTGGACACACCCAAACTCCTCTCGATAGAAGGCTGCGTTGGGGAAACTTGTGTTAACAACCAGATCCGGTCTCCTTTCCGGGAAAACGGCTGGAGGGTGCTGGAACAACAAGTTGGGTCGTTAAAAGTAATTTGCTGTGTGGGTCGGCCGCGCAAAAATTGCACTTGTAATTTGCCACCAAAATGGTCTTCCCACAACGCACAAAAGTCCAGAAGCTCAGAAAGTGAGCAAATGGTCCAATGCTTCCTCTCACTGACCGAGGAGCAGAACTTCTCTCATCGTCTCGCTGCAACAGCGCGTCTGCGCTGGCCACCGCAGTGCGACCTCAGCTCACATCGGAGTCAAAACCACGAAGTCAGGTCGTTCTCACGGTCTGCAATGCATGGCAACTCCAACTGTTTGATCAGCCCGCAAATCAGTTCCCAAAATCCCTCGCGCCCTCTGTGTTCCCAAAATCTTCGAGCGCAGAGCTTGACAAGACCGGTTTGGAGGTTCTGCGACTTCTCATTTGGCTTCAGAATCAGGTTTGGTGCCAAGCCACTCATGGTGAACGTCGCGGGGAAAATACGGCAAGCAGGAAGGCTTCACTCTGATAGCTACCTCTGTATGAAGCACTCGATATTTGAATTTTGCTCCAGGCGCCGACATGTAAACCCATCAGTAAGTATTGACTGTGTCGATGATAGCAAATGGTATTTAGCAAATGCATAAAACAAATGACGGGCTCAAGCATCGGAAACTCTAGCCGCAATGAACTTCCGCTGTGTTTTTCTCACGCACGAATAGGAAGAAGGTCAAAACAACGACTTGTCATTGCATCAACGCATCGGGCAGTGAGCCATAAATGATCTGCGGACTCGCAGTTTGATTGCGACTGCAAAAGGCTTGCAACTTACTAAACGTGCAAACTGTATGAGCCATGGTTAACGTTATTGGATATTGGTCAGTGACCCCCTCCCAATAGCAATTTGGTGGGTGTGCCGTGTCATCCCCTTTACTGCAGTAATTGACAGGTCATATTGGACGTTCATATAAACCATGTTCAAAAGCCCGTATATGACCTATGGTCATGGTCCCTTAACAGGAATCATCCTTTCTAGCCAAGTAAAGGAACTGGTTTGTTGACCACGCCACATATGTCTTCGAACTCATCTCAACACTGGAGAACCTCCACCGCAATGCTGGACCATATCAAGCCAATTCCAATCTCTACTAACCGACTCAGTTGCCCAGCAGACCCAGAAATAAAGGTGAATTGTTTGGAAGTGTGGACCTAATTAGGAAAAGTAAAAAGTCATTTGGGCGGCGTTGGACAGCTGAGCCAACACTGAAAGCAGACCAACACTAAGCCAGCGACACCCTTACAAAGCAACAGCCCAAACAAGCAGGTGGTGTATGGAGAAGCGCCGAGCTGTTGAAGGGAAACAGCTGGAACACCAGAACACCCACCATTGTGGGAGTCCACATTGCTCATCTGAATTTTTTAAACAAGGCCCATATGCTTCACTCACACACACACACACACACTTCAACTCGCAAGGGAGGATGCTAATCTTTCGAGTACAACCGATGAGTCTCGAGTAGGTAGAGTTTCGGCTCACAGTCACTTGGCTTCCCTGTAGCTACTTTAACAGGGGCACAAAAGAAGCAACGGCGGTTCAGGGAGGGGACCACAACCATCTCAGCAGGTATGTCTGGCTGATCAGGCCAGATATCAGCGCAGGTCACGACCCTCTTCGTTGGGTCACCAGTCGTGACTGCGGGTGACCCCCCTGCGTCTGTTTGGTGGCAGGGTATTCTGCCACTCCGCACACACACGCCCCTCCAAGAGGGGCGAACAGTACCTTTTGCATCCGGAAGACCAAATCAGCAACCTTCTAGTGTCTACCAAAATTTCCACAGGGGCGAGGAGA